CAAGACGTTAGCAGGGATAGCAAAGTATTACTACGGGCCTAGGATGGCAGCAGACGTGCAGCAGTTCGTCACCTCTTGCGACACATGCCAGCGGATGAAGAGTAGCAAGCAGAAAAAAGCAGGGTTACTTCAGCCTCTACCCGTACCGGAGCAGCCATGGCAGGTCGTTAGTCTCGACTTCATCACAGGACTTCCCTCGACCTCACGGGGACACGATTCCATCCTCGTAGTCATCGATAAGTTCTCCAAAATGGGTCACTTTATACCGACCAACGCCACAGCTACTGCTGAAGCAACTGCTCGCCTCTTCTTCGACCGCATCCTCACCATCCACGGCATCCCCGCTACACTCATCTCAGACCGAGATCCAAAATTCACCAGTAAATTCTGGAAGGAGCTTATGGGACTGTTGGGGACTAACCTTGCGATGTCTTGAGCATACCATCCCCAGACTGACGGACAGACAGAGCGACTCAATCAGATGGTTGAACAGTTACTGCAAACAGCTTGCAAAGACGACATCAGCCACTAGGACACACAGTTACCGACCCTTGAGTTCGCTTACAACAACGCCTCGCATGCGGCCACAGAGAAGACTCCTTTCTTCCTATGCTATGGATGAGAACCACTCGCACCACAGCAGCCAACCACACCAGCACACGTCCAAGTCGCACATGACTTCGTCACCACCATGCAGCAGCTATGGGAGAAGACTCAGCGACGTCTCACCACGATGCAGACCTCCTAGAAGCAGTATGCCGATCGTCAGCGACGAGATCATTCAGTAGAAGTCGGAGATCAGGTGCTTCTTGACAGGAGCAACTTGAACCTGTCTCACCTCCCATCCAAACTCCGGCCTCGCTTCTATGGTCCTTTTCTTGTTTAGGCACAGGTGACACCAGTTACATTCTGCTTGCGCTTGCCTACTACTTGGAAGCTTCACAACGCTTTCCATGTTCAGCTACTGAAGCCCTACAAGGACCCCAACCAACAGTTCCAGGGACGGCAGCTACCGCCACCACCACCTGTTCTCATACAGGATGAACCTGAGTACGAAGTGAAGCGTGTTCTCACTCATCGACGCCGCGGCGGGAAGACCCTCGAGTTCTTGATACGCTGGAAGGGATATGACCCCACTGAGGACAGTTGGGTTGCAGAAGCTGATATGGGATACGCACGCCGTGCTCTCAAAGACTATCTTGTCAAGCAGGGTGTATCTCACGCCACCCAGCTTTGAGGGGGGGGCGTGTGAGAGTACGACGGCTTATGCTGGCTTTACTAGCTTGCCTATACTTTATTACGCTATATCTAGCTTGGGTTTATTTTATCATGCATTCCTATAATTTATTATAGTTATAGCACCGAACCAGGTTACGTGTACCGAACTCAAGCCTATTCGGTTTCCACCGAATTGCTTTCTACTGAGTTCGGGAAGGTTCTGTTCGGGACGCTTCGCGACCCTCAGAACATTCGCGAAACACCTGGGTTACCTGCCTTGTGTCGAAACTATATATAGCCTCGTGTTGTACCCAGGTGAATCAATCAATTACAATTCTCTTTTCTGAGCTCGATCCTAGATCCTCACATCCTGGAGGCGGTGCAGCTGGAGCTGGAGGTGCCCGTGCTTCCGACACTACAGGCCCTGGAGGTGCTCGTACTGGAGGTACTCGAGCTGCCGGGGCCGGTGGTGCTGGAGACTCTGGAGCTGGAGGTGCCGGTTCTGGAGGCGTTGCTGCTGGAGGTACTGGAGCTGGAGACCCGGGAGCTGGAGGTGCCGGTCCTGGGGGTGCTGCTGCTGGAGGTGCTAGAGCTGGAGACACTGGAGTTGGAGGTGCCAGTTCTGTGGGTGCTGCTGTTGGAGGTACTGGAGTTGGAGACCCTGGAGCTGGAGGTGCCGGTCTTGGGGGCGCTGCTGCTGGAGGTGTTGGAGCTGGAGACCCTGGAGCTGGAGGTACCAGTTCTGGGGGTGCTGCTGCAGCAGGTGCTGGTGCTGGGGGTACCGCATGGACGCGACTATTCTTCTCTCCTCCGACGCCGTCGAGTTTGCCGCCGCCTGACACGGTACTTCGTCAGGTCCTTAGCCTTCCGTCTTCTACTGGCCTACCGTTACAGCCCGGCTCCCCACTGCCCGCTCCCATCTCCTATACTGAGTAGCCAGCCTCGCTTACAGAGCGTCGTGAGCCCGAGTCTCGCCCTGCCTCACCGGTTCGCACTGCTCGCACTGGTCGCACTGGTCGCACTGGTTGCACTAGTCGTCAGCGTCCTCCTCCTGTCCCTGGCACACACACTATGGGGCTTCGTCCTTCTTCTGCTCCACAGCGTGTCCCTCTGCGGTCGCCTCCTGCGTCCTCTCTCCCTGAGGGTGCGGACCCTGAGTCTGACTTAGTCCGTGCTGCCAATCCTAGTGTCACGCGTCTCCTTGCGACTGTTGTCACTGACCCCTCCTTTGAGTCTACTGCTGCGTCTCCTTTAGTTGCTGAGCTTGTCGACTTTGCTGCTCGCTGTCGTCTAGACTACGCCACTAGTCTTGTTGCTGAGTCAGAATCTGTTTGTCCTCCGTCCGTCGGGGGTGAGTGTGTTCGTAGCATGGACATCCTTGAGGACAGGCAGGAGGAGTTTGAGTTTCTTGCAGCCGCTGTACCTCATCTCGTGTCCTGGCTGCTTGCACCTGAGGGAGACCGGATGCTCTAGACATCCCGACCCCACGCTCTTACGCAGAGGCGATTACCGGTCCTTACTCCTCTCGGTGGCAGACAGCCATGGATGAAGAGATGGCATCCTGGAAGTCCACAGGCACTTACGTCGACGCGGTTCCCTCACCTGGGGCGAACATAGTCGATGGCATGTGGATTTTCAGGATGAAGCGGCCGCAAGGTTCTCCGCCTGTCTTCAAGGCGCGTTACGTTGCTCGAGGCTTCAGTCAGCGTCAGGGAGTTAACTACTTTCAGATCTTCTCCCCCACCCCAAAGATGACCACTCTTTGGGTGCTGTTGAACGTCGCTGCTCAGCGTGACTACAAGCTCCACTCCCTTGACTTCAGCGCAGCGTTCTTGCAGGGCAGCCTTCACGAGGAGATCTAGTTGCGCCGTCTTCGTGGCTTCATTGGGTCGTTTCCGGATGATACCCAGTGGAGCCTGCGACGGCCAGTCTACGGTCTCTGCCAGGCGCCTCGCGAGTGGCACGACACATTGAGGACCACACTAGCGGCACTTGGGTTTGCTCCTTCCTCTGCTGACCCGTCGTTGTTCCTGCGCACCGACACTTTACTGTCGTCGTTCTACATCCTCGTGTACGTCGACGACTTGGTCTTTGCCTCTTCTGACACTGCCGGACTCGCCCACGTGAAGTCAGAGCTACAAAAGAGACACACTTACACTGACCTGGGTGAACTGCGCAGCTACCTTGGCTTGCAGATCACCCAGGACAGAGCACGGCGCACCATCACCCTGACTCAGTCACACATGGTGCAGCAGGTCCAGTTCTCCTCGCCACAGTCCACTCCTTTGCCTACCGGTCACTCGCTCTCAGCTCTGCCTTCGCTCTCAGCGGTCGTCACAGGGTTACACCTTCAGCCTTGGTTCCGGCTCTGTTTCGTGGCGGTCTACCCGCTCTTCTTCGGTTCTCAGTTGCAGTTGTGAGGCTGAAATCTACGCAGGGGCCATGGCTTCACAGGAGTTACGCTGGCTCACTTACCTGCTGACTGACCTAGGAGAGCGGCCTCGTTCTCCTCCAGTTCTGTACGTCGACAACAAGGCCATGATTTCCTTATGTCAGGACCACATACTTGAGCATAGAACGAAGCACATTGCTCTGCGTTACTTCTTGGCTCGAGAGCTGCAGCAGCGTGGACAGCTCCGTCTTGCGTACGTGGCCACTCGGGCCAGCACTGCTGATGTGTTCACCAAGGCGCTTCCGCCTAGTGACCATCAGCGCTTCTGCACTGCTCTTGGTCTTGTACGTGTTTCGTCTCACCTGCTTACCTCTTAACCTTGCTTGTACTGTGATCTCTGTTATATACCTGCATGCCTACACTTGCTAGGTAGTGATCACTGTACTGCTTGCTGTTACTTATATACCTCTACATGTGAACTGGCCTTGTGGCCCTTTACTTGTGCTCAGAGTGTGTGGTGACGTTGTGATCCACCCTGAGCTTGTTTTGCTTCTCTTGACTGGTCTTGTGACCCCTTGTTCTCCCCCACTTTGCCTATGGGGGTGTGTCAAACATATATGCTTATGTTATTTATCTAGGTTGTAGTGGGGTAGCCACTGTGGGGTACAACCCTTTGTTCTCATTTTGTACCCAACCCTCTCGATAGTCGATTCATTCACTGCTCCTACTTTCTTGACAAGTGAAACGAGTTACCGTGTGAAAACCTACTGTAATAGTTACCGAACACGCAACAGAGCCCCTTTTATGTTGGCATTATTTCCCTGAAAACTGACTTGTGGAACTCGGGCTACATGAACAACACCTGGGTTACTTATATCTCATGCTAGCTAGTTCACACTCTTCCGCTTTCCTCCTCCAAGAGTTTTTACTCAATTCTAAGGTACACTGGACATTTTGGGCTTGATTATACGCGCACATGCGCCACTATCAGCATGAAGGTACACCGTACTTTCATATCCTTCGATTGAATACCCCTCCACACATCGGCCAATAGTTTTAACAATTAGTATGTCTACATGTGGTGTATACCAAATAAATATTGATGTATGCTCAATCACTTGTGGACCAAGCCTACCTCTGCTGCTAATCACACGTGTTAGAGAGAAGGGTGCAGCCGCAGTCGAAAGGGGGGCATGCATAAATGCGCACACAGGTGGGCACTTGATTCATGGAGGTGCCCTGCAAGTGGCACAACTAGCAGTGCTGGTGCACAGCTGGAGCCCCACAGCACGTGTGGGGGAGTTGGGTGGTGCGGACGTGGTGGGGGGCGCCAGGCAATGGGGTGGGCGACATGGTGAGGGATGGGGTGGGGGACGCGGGAGGCTATGCGCTAGGGGGCGACCAAGGCTGCGAAGCGGGCATCCCTGGGCGTGTCGGGCACCTGCACAAATGGCAGCGTGAGCAGCTGCAGAGAGCGAGCGAGAGAGAGAGAGAGAGAGAGAGAGAGAGAGAGAGAGAGAGAGAGAGAGAGAGAGAGAGAGAGAGAGAGAGAGAGAGAGAGAGAGAGAGAGAGGAGGCAGTGGCATGGGGGAGCATGCGAGGTGGTGAGGGTAGGTGGTCCATGTGGCAGCGAGTGCGTGTGCCTGGCACGCGGTCGGTGCCTGTGGCGTGTGTTACGCACATGCGAGGCTTGCAAAGAGAGAAGAGCTACGGAAGGTGAGTGGGACGTGCTGTGGGGCATGGAGTGGCAAGAGACTGTTGCAGCATGGGGGCATGCGTGCAGCATGGGGGCATGCGTGCAGCATGGGGGCATGCGTGCAGCATGGGGGCATGCGTGCAGCATGGGGGCATGCGTGCAGCATGGGCGTGCAGCATGGGGGCATGCGTGCAGTGATACAAGCGGACCAGAGAAGATGGACAGAGGAAGGCAGTGGCAGCATGGCTCACATGGCAGCATGGCTCACATGGCAGCATGGCTCACATGGCAGCATGGCGCACATGGCAGCATGGCGCACATGGCAGCATGGCAAGACATAAGAGTGTGACTCACATCGGAGGCAGAGGGGCGCTGGTTGGGGTCGAGCTGGAAGCAGGCGGTGAGGAAGTCACTGGCCTCGGCGGACACGCCCTCAGGGATGGGCGGGCCCGTGGTGGTCTTGGCGATGTGGAATATGGCCGACCACGTGTTGTCCATCCCCGGCCATGGGTGCCTGCCGCCCCCTCCACGCCCCACGCCAACATGCCAGCAGGAGGTCAGTGTGAGCACGAAACAAGCGCAAGGGAGGCAGAATGTGGCAAGAAAACGACAAGGAATGGCTGTAGCGAGGCGGGAAGGGAGACGGGAGCGTGGGACTCTACTCACCTACAGCAACCTTAATACCCCAGTCCATGACTCACGCCCTGTCAGCATCTCGATGACTCACGCCCTGTCAGCATCTCGATGACTCACGCCCCGTCGGCATCTCGATGACTCATGCCCCGTCAGCACCTCGATGACTCACGCCCCGTCAGCATATCAATGACTCACCGCCCGGTCAGCATCTCGATGACAGTGCAGCCAACGCTCCAGATGTCAGCGCGGCGGCCGTACCCCTCGCCCTTGATGACCTCGGGCGCCATCCAGAACACGGACCCGCGGATGCTCTTGCACCCCTCGCCCACTGTGCCCTCATGGAAACTCTGCGCGCCAAGGAGGGGCCGGGAGGAGCGGAGGGAAGGAAGGAAGGGTGGGGGGATGGAGGGTGAGCGTGTGGTTGGTTGGCAGAGAGGAAGAGGAGGGCAACTGTGAGACGCCAAACTCCTGCTGGGGATTGTGTTCCACGCCACACACCTCCACACCGCACACCTCCATGCCGCACACCTCCATACCGCACACCTCCATGCCGCACACCTCCATACCGCACACCTCCATGCCGCACACCTCCACACCGCACACCTCCATGCCGCACACCTCCACACCGCACACCTCCATGCCGCACACCTCCACACCGCACACCTCCATGCCGCACACCTCCATGCTGCACACCTCCATGCCGCACACCTCCACGCCGCACACCTCATCCACACGCCCCCACCTGCCTTGCACCCTTCCACGCGCCCGCCTTGCACAACCCCCCCTCCCATTCCACCTTCACCCCCCGCTCACTCCCGCTCCCCCACCCCCCGGTGGGCTGACCTTGGAGGCGCCGAAGTCGGCGAGCTTGATGACGCCGTCGCGGTCGACGAGCACGTTGCCGCCCTTGATGTCGCGGTGCACGATGCGGCACGCATGCAGGTACTCCAGCCCCAGCAGCAGCTGCCTCGTGTACACCCGCACCAGCGACTCGCTGAACGCCCCAAACTTCTCCAGCATGCTGTGGGGGGGACACGGGGGGGAAGGAGGGAGGAGGGAGAGGAGTGAGGAAGGGGAGGGGAGAGGGATGGGGGGTAACAAGCGAGAGGAAGTGGTAAGGAAGAGGTGGCACTAAAGTGCAAGTCTATGAAGCTCAGCTCAGTAAGACAGGTGCATCCACGCCCACGTGTGCCCCACGCCCACCTGTGGATGCAGCCCACCTGTGCATGGAGCCCACGTGTGCATGGAGCCCACCTGTAGAGGGAAGCTTACCCTATTGGCCAATAAGTTGGCCAATGGGTGAGCTTGCTTGTGACCCAAGCAACCACAAATGTGTGTTGGTTGGGATTGGTTGAGCTAAGGACCAATCCCAACCAACCACAAAATGTGGTTGGAGGGTACACTAAGCAACCCCCCAATTTATAAATGTGCTACACTTATAGCCTATGTATGTTGTATGAAATATGAAATTACAGCACAACCCCCCAACATGCATAAGGCTAGAAGGCTAGAATCAAGAGGCGGGAGGCGACTTAGGAGGAGTGAGGCCAAGAAGACGAAGTAGGAAAGAGTGAGCGGCATGAGGAAGAGCTTTTGTGAAGATGTCGGCAAGGTTGGCCGCCGAGTCAACCTTGTCGAGGCGAAGGTGCCCCGCCTGAACAAGATCGCAAATGAAGAAATGACGGAGCTCAATGTGCTTGGAGCGCCCGTGAAACACAGCATCTTTGGTGAGGTGAATGGTACTAGCATTGTCACACCAAATTGTGGGACAGCGCTGGGGGGCACCAAGTTCCTCAAGAAGGAAGGTGAGCCAGCGGGCCTCTTGCGCAGCCATGGTGGCGGCATACAATTCCGCCTCGCAGGAGGAGAGGGCTGCAGCCGAGGAGCGGGTGGAGCGCCAGCTGATAAGGCCGCTGCCAAGAGAGAAGCCATAGCCCTGGGAGGAGCGACGATCTGGCCGGGAATCAGCCCAGGAGGAGTCACTGTAGCCGCTGAGAAGATGTGGGGAGGGACCGCCAAGGGTAAGGACATAGTCCTTGGTGCCACGAAGGTACCGGAGGACACGCTTGGCGGCCTCCCAGTGCTCTTCCGTATGCTTGCCTGCGCCAACAAAACGAGCGAGGACGCTGATGGGGTAGGCAAGGTCAGGGCGAGTGGAGACCATGGCATACATGAGGGAGCCGATGAGCTCGGGATAAGGATGGGAGGAGGCTGAGGGGGAGGTGGGTGGAGAGAGGTGGTGCCCGACAGAAAGAGGAGTAGGTTGGGCGCCACCGCGGACCATGTCAAACCGCTCCAAGACCTGCTGCAAGTAATGACCCTGGGAGAGAGAGATGGTGCGGGCGGAGCGGTCACGGGTGATGGTCATGCCCAGGTAATGCTGCAGCTCGCCCAAGTCCTTGCATTTGAGACGGCTGCCCAACTCAGCCTTAACACGCTCCAATTCGCCAAGGTCGGCAGTGAGCAGAATCATGTCATCGACATACACAAGGATGTAGAACGGGGAGGAGCAGGTGCGGAGGAAGAGGCTGGCGTCAGAGCGGGAGGTGCGGAACCCAAGTTCAGCAAGGGTGGCGGCAAGCTTAGCATGCCACTCCCTCGGGGCCTGTCGAAGCCCATACACAGGGCGACGCAGCTGCCAGACAGAGTCTGCAGGGAAGGGAAGGTGAAAACCGGCTGGACGCTCCATGTAGATAAGCTCGCGGAGGACGCCTTGGAGGAAAGCGTTAGAGACGTCCATTGAGTGGATCTCCATATTGAAGCGAGCGGCGAGGTCGAGCACTGCGCGAACAGTAGCAGGCTTGGCAGTGGGAGAGAAGGTATCGAAGAAGTCAAAACCATACTGCTGCGTGAACCCCTTGGTACAGTAACGAGCCTTATAGACGGGCGGCTCTCCTGGCAGCTGTTTGACGCGAAACACCCACTTCCCTTTCACCACGTTCGTAGAGGAGGGAGGGCGAGGCACATCAACGAAGGAGGAGTTGGCGACAAAGGCCTCCAGCTCCTTGATAATGGCGGCGAGCCAGAGTGGGGCGTCGGGGCAAGCCATGGCCTCCTCATACGTGGTAGGGATGAAAACGGAGGGAGCAGAGGAGAATGCGAATACTGGTGTCCCAGAAAGGTCGAAGGTGATGGGTAGAAGGGAAGGGTCACAGAGGTGGAGGTCAAGGAACTCCTCATGCGAGTCCTCGGAGAGGGAGGTGTGGAAGGAGCGGATGACCGTTGGTGCCGCTGGTGCCGCTGCACGTGCCGCTGCACGTGCCGCTGCTGGTGCCGCTGCTGGTGCCGCTGCTGGTGCCGCTGCTGGTGCCGCTGCTGGTGCCGCTGCTGGTGCCGCTGCTGGTGCCGCTGCTGGTGCCGCTGCTAGTGCCGCTGCTGGTGCCGCTGCTGGTGCCGCTGCTAGTGCCGCTGCTGGTCCCGCTGCTGGTGCCGCTGCTGGTCCCGCTGCTGGTCCCGCTGCTGGTGCCGCTGCTGGTCCTGCTGCAGGTGCCGCTGCTGGTCCTGCTGCTGGTGCCGCTGCGGGTGCCGTTGCGGACGCTGCTGCTGGCGCCGCTGCTGGAGAGGTGGCAGAGGGGGCTGCTGCAGGAGGAGGTTGATGCAGAACAGCCTGGGAGAAGTGGTGAAGGAGAGGGGAGAGTGGGGGGAGGGTAGAGGTAGAGAGGGTAACAGGGGGCGGTGCACCAAGGATACAGTCACGTGACCTGGTATGGGGGTACCGGGTAAGTACGGTGCGGGGAGGGGGGGAAGGACGAGTCGGCGGCGAGGGAGGTGAAGGAGGCGCGGGAGGGGCACTAGGAGAGGAATGTGTGGGGGAGACGGGAGAGGACAGAGGTTCCGGGTCAAATATATGACCAGACGAGGGAGGGGCACCGTGGGATGGGGACGACGGTGGGGGGGGGGGGAGGGAGGATGGGGGGAGGAGGAAGTAGTGGGGGAGGGGTGGTGTCAGACCAGACAAGGGGACGGGGAAGACGGGGGAGTGGGTCAGTGGATGGGGGAGAGGAGTAGTAGGGAGTGGACTCATCAAAGACCACATCCCTACTGCGGAATAGACGACCTGAGGGGGGATGGAGGAAAAGGTAGTCAGGTGAGGAGGAGTAATGACCGAGAAAGATGCAGGGAAGGGTACGAGGGGCAAGCTTTCCCATAGAGCGGGAGCGGTCAGTGGGGTGAAGGAGAACATAAGCCTTTGAGCCCCAGACACGAAGAGACGAGACATCAGGTTTGTTGTTCGTCCACAGCTCAGGGGGGTGGTGGATGGGAGAAGAGGGTGAGGGTAAAGGTTAGTAAGGAGGGCGGCATGAAGGAGGGCGTAGCCCCACAGAGAAGGAGGGCAGGAGGCGTGGACAAGAAGACACCGGGCAGTTTTGGTGATCTCTCGAACATGACAAGAATGCCATGAGACTGACAGTAGGAGGATATTTGGTTGTTAAGGAACTCACCACCACCATCAGAGTGAAGGCGGCGAACAGGGCGCCCAAAATGGGTATTTGCTCGCTCGAGCCAGGCGATGATCGCAGCCGGGGCATCTGCCTTCGTCCGAAGGAGAGAGACGGACGAGTAGCGACTGTGATCATCGACGAGTACGAGGAGGTATCGATGGCCCTGGCGAGTGGGAGAGGGATTGGGACCCCAGAGGTCCATGTGAACAAGATCAAGTGGCTGCGCAGCAGCGGAGGGGGAGCTCCGGTGCGGCTGCTGCTTGAGCTTGCTCTGAACGCAGACGGTGCAGGGGGGGGCAGGGGATTTGGGGAGGGGAGGGAGGGAGGAGGGGAGACCGTGGAGGAGACCGGTGGAAACAGAGGAGCGTAGAGTAGCGAAGTTAGGGTGACCTAGCCTGTGATGGAGGAGGACGGCAGGGTGGGAGAGGTGTTAGAATCCCTCTTCTCTTGTAACCTGCATATATGCTATAGGTTAGGCTAGAGTTAAGCACCCAAACTTAGTTTGGGTGTACAAATAGGGGTAACCTAGTTTGTAGGTTGGAACCCAACCTTGGTCCAATTATTGGACCCCAAAAGATTGGGTTGGGTAGAATTATTGGCCCCCTCCAATAATGTTGGCCCAACCCCAACTTGGCCAACATTATTGGACCCCACCAATAATCTCCCAACCCAACCTCTTAGTTAGGGTCCAATAATGGCACCTTAGGCTAGCATCCAACCCCACTACTATGTATACCCCCCTGTTTCTCTATCATATCATCAACTACATTTCAACCTCTCTTCTCACAAGAGGGAGCGACAGGAGCAAGAGGAGTCAAGGGGGGGGCGGGAAGGGAGGTCCAGGTTAGTGGGAGGGAGAGGAGGAGGTGGGATGAGAGGGTCGAGGGGGGGACGAGAGATGACCTGACAGGAGGGGAGGCGAGGAACCCGAAGGGTGTACAGACGGGAGCGAGGGCAAAAGGGAATGCGAGAAAGGAACTGACCGGTGGCGGAATGGTAGAGAGCGCAATAGTTAGCATGAGCTGGGAATACTGTGGTGATACCGGCTTGCTGAAGGGACCTTTGCGAAAGGAGATTAGCGCGAAGAGAGGGTATGTGGAGACCGGTGACAGTGCCTGAGGGGAAGAGTGGGCAGGGGAGAGTCGAGGTGTTATGGCACGGGATAGAGAAGCTGCTGTCGGCACCAAGGAGGGAGGTAGGCGTTGGGAGGGGGCGCAAGGTGCCAGCATCGCGAAGAACTGTGTCAGTGGCGCCGCTGTCGAGGACAAAATCGACAGTGGAGGAGAGGGAGGAGGAAGGGACAGAGGACTGGAACGCGGTTTCGTTAGTGCTAGAGGAGTATGTGGCAGGTGCAGTTGATGTGGCTTGATTGACCATACCAGCGATACCAACGGATGAGAAAGGTGGGACGATGCTTGAAGTGGCGGAGCTTGTGGAACAATGCGGAACTGAGTTCTGCTGGGAAGTTGGGGGAGGAGGAGGAAGAGGCAGCTGCGGTTGTAGGTCAAGGTGCTGCTGCAGGCGGTGGAGCAACTGCTGGAGCTGGAGGAGGAGGTGCTAGAGCTGCTGCTGGTGCTGCTCTTGCTGCGGTTGCTGCTGTTGCTGCTGCTGCTGTTGCTGCGGAGGAGGAGGAGGAGGAGGAGGAGGAGGAGGAGGAGGAGGAGGAGGAGGAGGAGGAGGAGGAGGAGGAGGAGGAGGAGGAGGAGGAGGCTGAGGTAGAGAGAAGGGTTGACTCGGGGCATGGTGGGCTTGGGTGGAGAGTTTACACTGAAGTCCTCGAGTCGGGCCATAGCGAGGCACATATTCACGAGGAGAGAAGGCTGCTGCTGCGCCGCAGCCTGCGCTCAAACCTCTGACACCACAATATCCTGCGAGTCTCCCTTGACCACCACCACAGCTGCCACTATGCCCTCCTCCATGCCCACCGGCACCACTGCTGATGCATGCCAGCGCGACTGTTGCCATGGGGGAAGCAATGTGGGGTGTGGGCGGTCACGGCATGGCGCAGGCGAGCAGGGCATGAAGGTGTGCGCAGGCAGCTGACGGTATGCGTAGGCGGGTGTGCTGTATGTGCTCCCAGGTGTGCGGTATGTGCTGTCAGGTGTGCGGTATGTGCTGTCAGGCGTGCGGTATGTGCTGTCAGGTGTGCGGTATGTGCTGTCAGGTGTGCGGTATGTGCTGTCAGATGTGCTGTATGCGCGTGCAGATGTGTTGTATGCCAGGGAGGTGGGCAGGGGGCGGACGAGGGGAGGGGGACAACGAGCGGGGAAGGAGGGCGTGCAACGAGTGCGCGGACGGGGAGAGTGTGGACGACCGGAGCGCGGACGAGCAGGGCGTGCAGACGAACAGGGCGCGCGGACGGCCAGGGTGCGGATGACTGGGGCGCGCGGACGGGCAGGGCGCGGACGCGAAGGGCGGATGAGCAGGGTGTGCGGACAGGCAGGGCGCGGACGAGCAGGGCGTGCGGACGGGCAGGGCGGGGACGCGAAGGGCGGACGAGCAGAGCGCGGACGACCAGGGCGCGTGGTCGGACTAGCAAGGGCGTGCGAGTTGCAGATCTGAGCACGCGGAATGCAGATTTGGGCGCGGGAGAGTAGATCTGAGTGCGGAATGTGCAGATCTGAGCGCGAAATGCGCAGATCTGAGGGCAGGAGGAGTAGAGCAGGGCGCGGGAGGAGTAGATCTGAGCTCGGGAGGAGGAGGTGTGAGCTCGGGAGGAGTAGATCTGAGCTCGGGAGGAGTAGATCTGAGCTCGGGAGGAGTAGATCTGAGCTGGGGAGGAGTAGATCTGAGCTCGGGAGGAGTAATTCTGAGCTCGGGAGGAGGAGATGGGAGCTCGGGAGGAGTAGATCTGAGCTCGGGAGGAGTAAATCTGAGCTCGGGAGGAGTAGATCTGAGCTGGGGAGGAGTAGATCTGAGCTCGGGAGGAGTAGATCTGAGCTGGGGAGGAGTAGATCGGAGCTCGGGAGGAGGAGATGTGAGCTCGGGAGGAGTGAATCTGAGCTTGGGAGCACCGTAGTAGGACTACGTCTGAGGGACGGGGAGGAGAGGGTGGCCTAAGGACCGAGGGATCAAGGCGTGAGCCAATAGCTCTGATACCATGTTAGAAAGCTAGAATTGATACATTGAATAATGAGCCAAGAGGCTCTTTAGTACAAACAATGAGCAAGAGAGAGATGAGAGGGAAGCTTACCCTATTGGCCGATAAGTTGGCCAATGGGTGAGCTTGCTTGTGACCCAAGCAACCACAAATGTGTGTTGGTTGGGATTGGTTGAGCTAAGGACCAATCCCAACCAACCACAAAATGTGGTTGGAGGGTACACTAAGCAACCCCCTAATTTATAAATGTGCTACACTTCTAGCCTATGTATGTTGTATGAAATATGAAATTACAACATGGAGCCCACCTGTGCATGGAGCCCACCGGTGCATGGAGCCCACCTGTGCATGGAGCCCACCTGTGCATGGAGCCCACCTGTGGATGGAGCCCACCTGTGCATGGAGCCCACCTGTGCATGGAGCCCACCTAGGGATGAGCAATATGACGAACTCCTGTTCGGTTCGCCTCGAATTTTTTTGGCCAAAATTGTTCGGGGCGAAAGTGTTCGGTGTTCGCCCGAACACGTTCGCCGTTCGCCCGGCTCAGCTCGCCGAGGCGCGTCGAACACGAACGTGTTCGTGTTCGACACGGGCCTTCGACAAACACCAATGTGTTCGTCGACGAATAGGCCCGCGACCAATTTTTAGGTCGCGGGCCTTGGTGTTTGGGCTCAGATCTGGCCTTTCGCAGTTAGTAAAGTGCAGATCTAGCATTTCGCCATTGCTTAAGTGCAGATCAAGCATTTCGCCGTCGCTTAAGTGCGGATCGAGCATTTCGCCGTTGTTTAAGTGCGAATCGAGCATTTCGCCGTTGCTTAAGTGCGGATCGAGCATTTCACCGTTGCTTAAGTGCGGATCTAGCATTTCGCCGTTGCTTAAGTGCGGCTCGAGCATTTCGCCGTTGCTTAAGTGCAGATCTAGCATTTCGCCGTTGCTTAAGTGCGGATCTAGCATTTCGCCGCTACTTAAGTGCGGATCTAGCATTTCGCCATTGCACGCTGGCACTAGATGGATGAAGCAGGGCGGGACTGGCTTGGGAGGTGGGGGGAGAGAATGTGCGACGATTTGAATTTTACTCTATATTGAATTTCCCCCTGTGCGAACACGAACATGTTCGCCACGAACATGTTCGTGTTCGCCTGTTGCAGCAATTCGTTCGCCTCCTAGGGCGAACGGCGAACACCTATTTTCACTCAAGTCGTTCGCTGAACCGAACATGTTCGTCAGGGGGCGAACACGAACATGTTCGAGTTCGCCCCCTGCTCATGCCTAAGCCCACCTGTGGATGGAGCCCACCTGTGCATGGAGCCCACCTGTGCATGGAGCCCACCTGTGCATGGAGCCCACCTGTGGATGGAGCCCACCTGTGCATGGAGCCCACCTGTGCATGGAGCCCACCTGTGGATGGAGCCCACCTGTGCATGGAGCCCACCTGTGGATGGAGCCCACCTGTGGATGGAGCCCACCTGTGGATGGAGCTCACCTGTGGATGGAGCCCACCTGTGCATGGAGCCCACCTGTGCATGGAGCCCACCTGTGCATGGAGCCCACCTGTGCATGGAGCCCACCTGTGCATGGAGCCCACCTATGGATGGAGCCCACCTGTGCATGGAGCCCACCTGTGCATGGAGCCCACCTGTGGATGGAGCCCACCTGTGGATGGAGCCCACCTGTGCATGGAGCCCACCTATGGATGGAGCCCACCTGTGCATGGAGCCCACCTGTGCATGGAGCCCACCTGTGGATGGAGCCCACCTGTGGATGGAGCCCACCTGTGGATGGAGCCGCCCGACACGAATTCGAGGAAGATGTAGATGGAGCCGTCAGCCTCGTGCTTCTCCATGTCGATGTACCCCACGATGTGGCGGTGCCGCATCTTCTTGTACAGCACGATCTCGCGCTCCAGCGCTGCGATGAGCATCGCCTTCTCGTCGCCCTGCGATGTCATCTTGATCTCCTTCACCGCCATCAGCTCGCCCGTCATCTCGTTCAGCCCCAGAAACACCTGTCCGCCCCACCGCACCACACCACACCGCAGCGCAACGCAACGCAAATTCAATTTAACTCTTTCGGAGATCGTGTTTCCTCAGTCTCTAAACGATTTCGTTCCTATTTCTGACAGACTCGTCAGCCGTTGGTCACAAGGTCACTACCATGCAGGCAACCACGGTGCACTCACCTTGCCGTATGCACTCACCTTGTCGTATGCACTCACCTTGCCGTGTGCACTCACCTTGCCGTGTGCACTCACCTTGCCGTATGCACTCACCTTGCCGTATGCACTCACCTTGCCGTATGCCCTCACCTTGCCGTATGCACTCACCTTGCCGTATGCACTCACCTTGCCGTATGCCCTCACCTTGCCGTATGCCCTCACCTTGCCGTATGCCCTCACCTTGCCGTATGCCCCTTCGCCCAGCATCTCGCCCTTCTTCCACTTGAACGACGCTGCTCCACACACCGCCTCCCCACCATCCGGCGCAGAGGCAGCGGTGGGAGTAGAGGAGGAAGGGGTGAGTGGGGAGGTGGGAGCAGCGGCCGTGGGAGAGGCAGCGGGGTCGGTGCTTTTGGATTCGAGGGCAGGGGAGGCCGGAGCAGCTCCTTCCCTTTTGCCTGCACTAGATGCTTCGTCCCCACTCCCTTCCACATGGCCCTCCCGTGCATCCGCGCCCTCCCGTGCATCCGCGCCCTCCCGTGCATCCGCGCCCTCCCGTGCCTCCACGGGTTTGGGAGAGAGGGGCGGCCGCACTGCACCCTTCTTCTCCCCTTCGCCGCCCCTCCCCGCCTTCCCCTCCGCTGATGCTTCCCTCCCTCCCTGCTCTCCCCCACTTGCCTCCTCCCCACTGCCACTCTTCTCCACCCCATTCGCTGCACCCGGACTCTCCCCATGTGCTGAGTCGCTGGGCGGGCTGCTGCCATGAGCGGGCAGTGAGAACTTCACCGACTTGCGTGCACGCGTGGCTTGAGTGGCGGAGGCGGGGTGAGCAGCTTGGGAGGGAGATGGAGACGCGCCTGTCACAGCAGCAGCAGCAACAGCAGCAGCTGTGCCGCTGCCCTCGCTGCCCTCAACGCCAGCACTCGAGGCAGCAGCACCACCGCCACCACTACTGCTGCTAGCACCAGTGCCCCCAGCAGAAGCGGGTGCAGCAGCGCGGGCAGCAGCGCCACGTGTGCTGCCAGCTCTCTCTCCTTTGCCTCCTGCACTGCCAGGCCTCTCCGCCCTCCCCCCTGCACTGCCAGGCCTCTCCGCCCTCCCCCCTGCGCTGCCAGGCCTCTCCCCTTTGCCCCTCGCACCTGCCCCTGCCGCTGCTGGTGCTGGCGAGGCACCCTCTGCCCACCCTGACGCCTCCCCGCTACCACCCCGGCACACCGGAGCCAAGGCGGCGCAGGGAGGAGGGGGTGGGCCGAGGGCCCCTGGCGGCGTGCAAGCTCTCATCGTCCGTCACCACCTCCCTGCCGCCAACGCGCTGCCCACCCCCTCCCCCCGCTGCTCCTGCCGCACCCTCTTCTGCCCCTGCTGCACCCGCCCCTCCCCTGCTGCTGTGTGACGCAATGCTGTCAGGCGGAGGGGACGCGGACGGCACAGCGGCGCCGGGTGCAGAGGAGCGGAGGCCCGGGCGGCGTTGCTGGCGAGCGCGCAGAGATACCTCCGTGTCGCTGCACGGCCAGTCACCCCCCTCCCCACCTTGCTGCTGCCGCCGCGGCCCTTCGCCCTGGCCCCCCTTGCCGTGCTGCTGCTGCCTGCCCTCTCCCCCGCTGCCACTGCCACTGCCCGGCCTGCCACGGCCTTCCAGTGCGAGGCGCCGCACGTGGGGGACGGACGACGGCGGCGAGCTGCCAGAAGGGGACGTCAGCGGCGAGGAGGCCCCCGCCAGGGGGGAGCGCGGGCCGCCTGACGCTGACGCGTCCCCCACGGCGTCACTGCTGCCCACCCGCCTCACTCCACCTGACCCCTGCCCTCCCCTCCCACCCGCCCCAGCACCACCAGCAGCAGCACCGCCAGCACTAGCGGCAGCAGCAGGCGGTGGGTCAGTTGCGCCCAGGCGCGTGGGTGGTGGTGCGGCTCTCCCCCCCGCCCTCTCCTCCTGCGACGTGCCCCTCCCCACCACCCGCCTGCCCGCCCCCCTCGCTGCGTCCCTGCGCCCCGCGCCCCCATGCTCGCCCCCATGCTCGCCCCCATGCTCGCCCCCATGCTCGCCCCCGTGCTCGCCGCGGTCACTCTCCGACTGAGACGACTCCGCCATCCATCCCTCTGCACCCTCCCCACTCACCATATCCCCGCTGCTGCCCTCTCTCTCCTTCCCACTTCCCCCTCTCTCCTTCCCACTTCCCAATCTTTCCTTTCCACTTCCCTCTCTCTCCTTCCCACTTCCCAATCTTTCCTTTCCACTTCCCTCTCTCTCCTTCCCACTGCCTTCTCTCTCCCTCGCTCTGTTTTTATCCAACCCCCCAGGCTGTGCTGCGCGTCCTCCTCCCTCCGCGCACCTGTCTCCTCCGCCATCACTCCCGCACTTCTCACCCCCATGCCTCTCCTCATCTCCCGGACTCACCACCCCTCTCTGCTGCTGCTGCTGCTGCTGCTGCACGCCCTGTCTGCTGTTGCCAGAGGGGCTTTTCATGCCACTGTCACCGCGCACAGCTACCTCGCCACCCATGCCACCGCGCTCCACCGCATCGCCTGCACTCATGGCCTGCGCACTCAGAGACTGTGTGCGCACCATCCCTCCCCGCCGACCCCCAACCTCCGCCCCTCTCCCTCGCCCCTCTGCCCCACCCCTCCCCCCGCCACCCCCCCTGGCCGTGCCACCAGCGCCCCTGCCAGCGGCCCGCCCCAGGCGTGACTCGCCCGCACCGCCGCCGTCGCTCACCATGCCACCCACACTGCTGCTCCCCGGTACTCTCGCCCGCCGCAACCGCACTGCACCGCCTTCCACATCTGACATCACCTCTCCATGCCCCACCACCAGCCCCCCTCCCACTCCCCCTACCCCTCTCCCCGCTGCCCTCCCTCCCCCCCCTCTACCCCCCCCCTCGCCCCCCTCGCCACTGCCCCCATGGCGCCTGCCCACCCCTGCCCCCGCCGCCACCGCCCTGTCAGCAGCGCCATCCAGCGCGCGCCCCGCCAGGCTGCCCCCAACCCTCCTCCCTGCCACGCCCATCCCTCCCCCTCCACCCGCCCCTCTGAGCCCTCCCACCACCCCAACGCCGCCTGCACTCCCCACTCTGCCAGCGGTGCTGTCCGCCTCTGCAGTGTGGCGGGTGGGGGAGGCAGCGGAGCGCGAGGACGGCAGTGGCGAGGGCGAGAGGGCGGGGGACGCGGCGGGGCTGTCAGTGCCGCCCACGCGGCGGGCGCCCTCCCACGCCGCCGTGAAGGCCTGCTCCTGGCCCTCCGGGGGGGTGGGGCTGTGCGCACGCTGCCCGGGCAGCCCGTGGCTGCGAGTGGGGCTGCGGAAGCTCATGGTGCGCGCGGGCAGCCCCGTGGGCTGTCCAACGGCGGACGAGAAGGCGGAGGGCGGCGCCGCATGGTGGTGGGCGGCGGGGCGCAGGCGGTCGCGCGAGGGGCTGCGGAAGGACATGGAGCGGGCAGGCAGGGAGGTGGGGTGCGCAGAGAGGGGCGAGATGGACGCAGAGGGGGACGGGTGCGAGGGGCGTGTGTCGCGGGAGGGGCTCTGGAAGCTCATGGTGCGATTCTTGGCCAGCAGCCAGTCCGCGCGCGATGGCGGCGCTGCCACCGACGCAGACAGCGGGAAGGCGTCCACCCCGCGCGCACCCGATGCACCACCCTGCCCCTCCCGCCTCGCCCGCCCACCCTCCCCGTGCCCCAGGGCCCCCCCTGGCAGCCCTGTGTGGGCGGAGGCGGCGGTGTCCTCCAGGCCGCCCTCCCAGTGCTGCCCACCACCCTCCCCCCCGCCGCTGTTGCTGCCCGTGTGGTCCGCATGAGCCCCAACCCCTCCGGTGGAGCGCAGGTGGTACTCGTGCAGCTTGCGGAAGAGCGCCCGGATGCGCTCCGACGCCGTGAGCTGCTGCGCCACGAGCCCGTCACTGTTGCGCGCATACATGTTGGCGCCCGCCACGAGCAGCAGCTTTATTATCCCCCTGGTGGGCGCGCGGTGGGCACATGGGAGGTGGGGGGCGAGAGTGACGGAGAGAGGGCGAGACATGGCAGGATTGCGGGTACAAGGAGAGTGCAGTTGGAGGGAAGGGAGCAGAGAGCTGTGAAGGGAAGCGGGAAGACAAGGGCGGATGGGGAAAAGGATTGGTGAGGGTGAAGACGAGGAGCTGATTGGCACACTCGGCCCCACGGCAGATGGGCACAGGAGGGAGGCAGGGGCCGTGACAGCACAGGAGGGAGGCAGGGGCCGTGACAGCAGATAAGTGCACAAGATGAGCAGCACTATGGCATAGGCGGCACAATGGCATAGGCGGCACAATGGCACAGGCGGCACAATGGCACAGGCGCATACTGCATTCTCCACAGCTTCTCTTTCCCCACTTCATTCCCACCCTCATAACCGCCCTCATCACTTTCCACCCCCTATGCTGTAGCCCCACCCACCACACAGCTGTGGACATATGCGCACTTGTGCCCCCACCACACACACACACACACACACACACACACACACACACACACACACACACCTGTGGCCGGTGCTGCAGGCGTAGTGCAGTGCAGAGCAGCGGTGGGCGTCGGTGGCGTTGATGTCCGCCCCGTTGGTGAGCAGCAGCCGCACCAACTCCTCACTGCCCGCCTGCACCGCCCACAGCAGCGGCGGCGAGAAACCCTCCTGCTGCCACTCCAGCAGGGTGGGTGGGAGGGACGCGGTGAGGGGTGGGGGTGAATGAAGCAGAGCACTGGTCCGCACGGGGAGACAGGGCGATGGGGGACCCATGCACTGCACTCACACCAGGCACATCTCAGCCCACAGCCGAGTGAGTTTGCATTTCTCAAGCAGCAGAGTTGAGTCACTCAATGGGGCACACACACACAGGTGAAACGCACGCAGCAGCAAGGGCAGACCGGGAGCAGGGCAGAGGGCAGAGGGCAGAGGGCAGAGGGCAGAGGGCAGAGGGCAGAGGGCACAGGGCACAGGGCAGAGGGCAGAGGGCAGAGGGCACAGGGCACAGGGCACAGGGCACAGGGCACAGGAGGACACAGGAGGACACAGGAGGACACAGGAGGACACAGGAGGACACAGGAGGACACAGGAGGACACAGGAGGACACAGGAGGACACAGGAGGACACAGGAGGACACAGGAGGACACAGGAGGACACAGGAGGACACAGGAGGACACAGGAGGACACAGGAGGACACAGGAGGACACAGGAGGACACAGGAGGACACAGGGCATGGGGCTGGTTTTGGAATTTCTCAAAAAAGAGGCACAGGGCACAGGGCACAGGGCAGAGGGCACAGGGCACAGGGCACAGGGCACAGGGCAGAATGGTTAGGTGCGTGTGGTACCTGAGGTGCGTGTGGTACCTGAGGTGGGGTGCCCCCATCGGGGTCGGCCCCCCACTCGAGCAGCACTGCCGCTGCGTCCACACTGCCCGCCACCACCGCCTCGTGCAGCACCGTGCGCCCCGTGCCTGCCGGGGGCGGGAGAGAGGCGCGCGGATGGGCCACAAGGCACAGCAGTCACAACAGGTGAGGCCACACATGGAGGTGCGGACACGGGACATGGGACATGGGACATGGGACATGGGACATGGGACATGGTCGTTGAGTTAGCATGAGCCAAAACGTGCCAGGTTAGGCTCAACAATGAACATACCGGCGTACTGAGCCTATGGGCCGTACTGGAGGCGTTCAAGTCACTCCGTTGCTGAGCTGAGAGATCGCACAAGTTGAGCTGCCGCTACAACTTTCAGTGAGATGGCAAGGGGAGGACCCACCGGGGTGCAGCGCGGAGAGCAGCGGGTGGCGCGAGGGGGCGTCCTGCAGGATGGCGTGCACGAGGTCCGCATCGTTGCTGCGCGCCGCCTCGCCCAGCCGCAACACGCGCTTCAGATTGATGCCCTCGCCAACACCCCCGCCCCCGCCCCCATTCTCCCGCCCATACGGCCTGGCGAGCCCAAGCGCCCCCCCCATCGCCATGTCAGCGTCCATGTCCGCGCCCCTCTCCCGCGCCCCCCCCCCGCCCCGCACCATCGCGGCCCAACCCCATGGCGCCGTGGCGCAGGTCCAACAGGTCGTCTGAGTCAAAGAGGCCACTGCCGTTCACTGCCAGGCTGTTGACACGTGGCAGCACAGCATTGGTGGCGAGCATGTCGGTGTCATCGAAGCCTGATGACTGCAGGGGAGGAGGTGCGAGGGAGAGAGGGGAGGGTTGGGACAGCACAGGGTAGAGAGGAGGCAGGGTGAGGGGCACACGCACACATGCTGGCTCGTCTCTCTGCCGGCACAGCTGAGCCAAGGCAACGCAGCCCCTCTCACACGCACTCACTCCCATGATGTCCACCATGCAACCTTTGCTCCTTGCTTCACTTGCTCATACCTATCCTCTCGCCACACTCACAGACCCCTCGCTACAGTCACGTCACGGCCACCCACAGTTCGGTCCAGGCCGAGCCATTGCGCGCCCAGCAAGTGCCGCCCGCCGCCCGCCCCACTGCTACTGCTGCTGCTCAGGTCAGCGGCCTGGTGGCTCAGCGTGCGCGCCCACACCCTGCTGCCGCCCCCGCCACTTCTGCTCGCGCCCACGCCCATACCGCCGTGCCCTCCCACCCCTCCGCTCCCGCTCCCCTGCACCCCGCGCGCCCCCCCTTCGAACGAGCCCCCCATGGCCAAGCCTCCCCCCAGCCTGCCCCGGCCCTCATGCCGCCGTCCGCCTTCCCCCAGCGCCCCAAATTCCCCCCTCTCCGCGTCCAGCGCCAGGCTCCCCGCGTGCAGATGCCCCACGTCCCGCCCCGCCACCTGCGCGTGCCCCCGCAAGCCGCCCCGCACGTCCTCCACGCCCTCGTCGAAAAAGTCCCCCAGCGGGCCTCCGCCAAGCACGCCGTCGTGCGGCGAGAGGCCGTGCGGGGAGAGGCTGTGCGGCGAAAGGCTCAGCCCCGCGGCGACGGCGCGCTGGTGCTGCGCGTCCTGCGCGAAACGCGCCGCTCCCCCTCCCCCGTCGTCGCGCAGGCCGTGTCTCTGCGGGCGGAGCGACGAGGTGGGCCCCGCCTGGTACGACACGTGGCGGGGGGCACTCGCGCCGTGCTGCTGCTGCTGGTGGGGATGCGCGTGGCGCGGGGAGTGGTGGCGGTGGCGCGGGAGCGACGCGGGCGGGGTGGCGGCGTGGTGGAGGAGGTCGTCTGAGTCGAGCGAGTCGTACGCCGCGCGGAGGGCGGCGGGGACGGCGCTGCTGTGGCTCCGGGGGAAGTTGTACGGAAAGTCGCGGGAGGGGCTCACGTCGCCGTCGCCGTCGAGTGTGGCGACGGGGAACGTGCCCGACCGGTGCATGGCGACGCGCGGGGCGAAAGCGAATCAAATGCGCGTCAGGTGGGGGCGAGTGGCGGCATGGCGGCGGAAGAGAATCCCGCCACCCGCGCCTGCCGTTCCCCCTCCCTCACTCGCCGCCCGCGCGCCGCACTGCGGACCCACCGCCGAGGTACCGGCGCCGCCAGCTGTCGCGTGGTCGGCCGGCGGCAGGAGAAAAGTGCGGCGCAGCAGTGGAGAAAAGGGCTCGAGCGCGGTTCTCTAGATCGCAAGTATTGAGAAATTCCGCGTGCGGAGACGACACAGAGCTTGTTGATAAGGGTGACTGCACGAATCCTACAGAAGCAACTCGCTTGTGCTGGCGACACGAGGACCAGTTGGCAAAAGCGACGTACAAGACGAGAAAGTGACGGGAGATAAATGAAGAGCTGTGCGTGCAAGTGGTGCGCGAAAGAGCAGAGCAGCGCGCAGCAAGCGGAGGAGGGCAAAGGGCTGGGGTGGGAGCTGCGGGCAGCGAGCGGCGAGGAAACAGCGTTGGCAGGAGCTACAGTGGTGCAGCTTAGGGTTCGCGACAGAACATGGGGTTCGTTTCTGGCGAACGTGAGATAGGGCTTCTGTTACGGGTGAAATTGAACGAACAGGCGAGGATTGCACTAAAGGGGCGGGAGTATAACACGAGAGTGTAGGAAAGTTCTTAGATTCCTTACCGCATGCCACCACAACCAGGGCTTATTTTATCAGTGTAAATCAGCCTGATACCCTGATTATCAGGGTGGTTTTTGGTAGTCACACTGATGGCCTAGGGTAATTTATTTTGGAGCTAGGATTTTCCTGATATGCCAGAATTTACATTTAAGGCACACTGATGCCTCAGGGTTACTGATCTTCATGACGAAATTTACCCTGAAGTGAGTACCATATCCCCCCTCCCCCCCCCCCCCCCCCCCCCCCCCCCCCCACTTCCCCCACCCCCCCTGTCCTGTAACCCGGGATTCCCGGTTGCCAACTGGTCGAAACCAGAAGTTCAGCCTCGACAATACATGTCCCGCGTGCCCCGCGTGAGGCCACCGTAACCAAAGGCCCCATTACGGGGCACTGGTTACGGAGGCCCACGTGCAATTACGGACCGTTTTACCTCGACAATACATGTGCTGGCACGAAGTGGGCCACAATTGGCCAGAAACACCAGGGTTTGAAAAACTGTTACACTGATGCCACAGAGTTGGATTTTCAAAAACAAGAAAACACTAATGGATCAGGGTTTGAACAAGGTGTCACATTGATAATCAGGTTTTTGAACAGGTGCAACACCGATCACAAGGGTTGCTCAAAACCAAAAACTAGCCCTGACCACAACGTGTATACTGCTCGACAATTGCCCGTTGCAGCCCCTGAAGTTCTGCCAGGCAAACTGAGTTAGAGCGTCTCAACTCAAACGTCCAAATGAGTGTTTGTCTAAACGTACTGTGCCATACTTGAAGCCCACGCCTAAAATGGCAAGGGTTCATAAATACTGAACTTGAATAGGGTTGCGCGAAGGTTGACGAGAGAAAAAATCGCCGGAGGAAGGCGGCGGAGGCGGAATGCCCTACAGTGTATCGCAACTTCAACTTCAACTTCCGAAACCTTGAACAAAAACAAACGACAAAACTAAACCCAACCACTCTCGCACAGCTCACTGTCAAAACATATATGGTTATGTTGTTTAAGCTATATGGGTGTTAGCACTAGAGGGTACTGAAATTCACTCGATGTTGTTCTTGTACCAGGTCCTACGTTATCAGGAATTTTTCCCTGAAATTCCTGATTTTCAGGGATTTTTTTGTACATATCCTGATTTTTCAGTGGTCAGTTTTTTAAGGGGCTGATTTTTCAGCCTTTAGGTGCTAGATGACTCTGATCTTTCAGGTTTTTTTTCGAAAAGACACTGATCACTTTACGTTGTAACGAAACTAACCCTGAATGCGGTTCCTACACGTGCCGAGTGTAGGTGCCCAGAAGTACAGGGAATATCAGATTCCCGCGGTGTTTGGAAAAAAAATCGTCTGTTACTCACCGCCAGCACCACCTGGCGGTGAGAACGAGACAAATTTTACCCGAGTTTTACACCTGGTGGGCTGTTGAATTTGGCGCGCGTGGAATGATGGTTGCCCAATTTCTCATCATTGCATGGGTTGACCAATCACAGGGTTGCAGCATAGCAATGATGGCAGTGTGCGGTGCGAGGGTTTCTTGCACGTGTTGTCGTGTGGCACGTTTTGTCCAGGTCGTGCTGGCACCCTCTCGCTGCTCTGCTGTTGCGCCCATGCTTGCAAGCTAGCTAGTTAGTGTGTTCTAGTTATTGAAGTGTATCAGCGTTTAGAAAATAGGGGCACTGATGCATCAGGGATTTTTAAAAAAGAACACTGAACTTTCAGGGATTTTTTTTTTTTTAGACACTGATAATCAGGGATTCTACACAAGGGGACCCTGATGCCTTTACGTGCCTAAACGTGAATCATAGGCCCTGTCTTGTACCCCTCTCCTTGACCTAATAAACACACTATTATTCTCGACATGGTATAGAGCGGGTCCTTCCTAAGGACCATTTTTTTTAGAGGGCCCACCGTTTAGCTTTTTTTCTTGCCCGAAAACAGCCCGTTTAGCCCGCGAGCCGCCCGAGCGTGGACCGTACAGCCCGCGCCAGGCCCGTTTAGCTCGCGAACCGCCCGCGCGTAGCCCGTACAGCATGCGCGCCGCCCTTGCGCAGCCCATACAGCCCGCGCGCCGCCCGCGTACAGCCCGTACGGCCCGCGCACGACTAGCACGCAGCCCGTACGGCCCGCACCAGGCCCGCACGCAGCTAGTACAGCCCGCGCTAGGCCTGCACGTAGTCCGTACAGCCCGCGCCAGGCCCGTGCGCACCTACCCTGCCTGTTGGATGCACGTCATTCTGAGTGCATGTCATCCTAACGTCCTGCCGAGTGCTCGTGCTATTTGTGCTTGCATGATTTGCATGAGCATATGTTATTATGCATGGCTGTTGGATATTGTCATCTCTGTGCTTTTTCTCCAAGTCTAAATGCTTGATCATGCAGGAGAAATCCAGAGCTTTCCAACGATACCAAGATCGCCTTATTCCGACCAAGATCGCCCAAGTTACAAGATTTCCAAGACTTGGATTTCTTATTACCTTTTGGGGTTATATCTAATTTGGGTGATTACTTGGGACATGACTATAAAGGGATCTTTGTTTGGGTGGTTAGGGAAGGCAACTTTGACTTTTGGATTGGGGTGGCTAGAAGTTTCTAGCATGGGTTGCAAATGTTGCAACACCTAGGCAAAATCCAACTAGATTGGATTTTGCATGTGACACCTCAAGGTGACAAAATTAGAAGAAAAAAGAGGAAAAAGAGGAATGAACTAGCAGAAATGGGGATACAAATAGCAAACCCTAGAAGGGTTGTACTCGCTATAGAGCACCCCACTACAGGCTAGAACATAAGAATAATATTCTGACACACCCCCATAGCCAAAGTGGGGTGTAATCAGCAGAGCAGGCAAAGTAGTACAAGCTCAGGGTGGATCACAATGTCACCACACATTCTGAGCACAAGTTCAAGAAGAAATAGTTTAGAGTTCACAATTATAAGCAAAGCTAGTGGTAGTCACAACGGGCAAGTGAGGAGGAGGAGGGAGAGTGAGGGGAGAGGAGACAGGAGGCGACGGCTGAAGCTGCAGACACACGGGCAACAGGAGGCAGACTGGCACAGCGGCTACCGGACAGCGCCCGGACTACAGGAGTAACAGGCCCCGCGGCTCAAATAGCGGCGGACGGGCAACGGACCCACGGGCGGCTGGCACAGCTGGCTACGACTGGGCTACCGGGACAGCGCCCCGGACTACAGGTGCTGCGGACGACAAGCCGGCAGCCTCCGCTCAACCTCCCGCAAACAGTCCCACCCCCCTGATACACACCCACTGCTACACCGCTAGCTCTACTCCCACACACCCCCCCTTAAACCCTAAACCCCAGTCTCCCACACAACCACCCCCCTCAGCGACAGCTGCAGCAGTGGGAGACGAAGGAGGAGGAGGAGCAAGGGAGGAAGGCACACCGGCCACCCCCATACCCGCCACCCCACAGCTCGCCCCTCCCGTCGTCCGTCGAGGCGACCTGAGGGGGCCGCTTGCAGCCCCCGAAGGAGCCGCGACGGGCGACGGGAAATGGCAGGGGGAAGGGGGGGGGGGGGGGGGGGGGGCGGTGTGGTGAAAGGGGCCCACCACGGGCCTGGTTGGAGGGCGGAGCCGCGACAAGGGGCGGGACCGCGACGGTCGGGGCGGGGCCGCGACGAGGGGCGGGGCCGCGACGTAGGGCGGGGCCGCTTCGAGGGGCGGGGCCGCGACGGTCGGGGCGGGGCCGTGACATAGGGCGGGGCCGCTTCGAGGGGCGGGGCCGCGACGCAGGGCGGGGCCGCGACGTAGGGCGGGGCCGCGTCGAGGGGCGGGGCCGCGACGGTCGGGGCCGCTTCGAGGGGCTGGGCCGCGACGCAGGGCGGGGCCGCGATGTAGGGCAGAAGCCCGCCGCGCGCCTCGGGGCGCACAGCGGGCAAAGAACCGCCGCGCGCCTCGGGGCGCACGGCGGGCAGAAAACCGCCGCGCGCCTCGGGGCGCACGGCGGGAGGAAAAAGTAGCAGCGGAAGCGAGGTGGTAACCCACCCACAGGATCGATCCAAGGGGATCGACCTGCTCTGATAGCATGACAAAATTAGAATGAAGAAAGAGAGGAAAAAGAGGAATGAACTAGCAGAAATGGGGATACAAATAGCAAACCCTAGAAGGGTTGTACTCGCTATAGAGCACCCCACTACAGGCTAGAACATAAGAATAATATTCTGACACAAGGACCTCATGATGAGGGTTGCATCCTTGCTGCTAGGAAGGTTCCTACCATCCTTCCCTAGCTCTTGGAGAACCCCTTCCCTCTCATGGTTCTCTTGGAGGTTCCCAACTCCAACTTTCTATGCCTACATGCTTGTACTTCC